CTCAGTTTCTTCTACTCACATCTGAACTTTTATAGGACTGTAATAGTTGCATAGACAGGTCAGTGGGGAGTAATCAATATCACGCGTCTATTCTTTGATTTCGGTGCAGACAGAAATCTGTCAGTCAAGAGTCACGCATCCAGGTGCCTCACTATTACATACTGATTACTCTTACTTTTGACTTCATCGCTTCATTACAGTACTCATTCCTTACGTTACATAACGTATTTTTTTCAAGTCATTCTTCTTGATCATGAGCTGACATCAGATAGAGGGCCGTTGGAAAACCAAGGGGTACTGAACAGCCTTTTTTGTAGTTTGGAACTCTTCACCAGTATTCATCCACTGACTTGGGTTCAAATCCAGAGCCTTCTTGTTATAATACCAGCTCGTGGACCATTAAACCACTGGGACCTGATCCAACATCTCGTGTATCCCAACTTCTACCAGTTCGCGAAATGTCGCGCAATCGTCAGTTAGTGTCATAGGCGAGTAACTGTTCTTTTACCTGGCTTAATTTCAAATATCTAGACTACGCTTCAATTTTCTAGCACTTAACCTCCTTCATAAAGTTTTTCTTCTATTTTAAATATGTCTACAAACTTGGACACTGTGGTAGAGCATAACTCCATTATGGATAAGATTTTATTTTGATAAATCACACTGTGTTGTACAGTAATATTAAATGATGACGCTTCGAGCATAAACTATTGCTCATAATCATATCAACTTGAAATGATTATGAGCAATAGTTTATGCTCGAAGCGTCATCATTTAATATTACTGTACAACACAGTGTGATTTATCAAAATAAAATCTTGTCCATAATGGAGTTATGTCTACAAACCTTGGAATTTGAATAAATTTGACATTACAATATGTATAGCTTTTATTTTGATCTCAACTTCGACAGCAATTCCCATGGAAACGTGAATAGCTTTAGGTTTTGATGACTGCTGATTTCTAAGATAATGAAATTTTAAATTATTTATGCATTCCTTCTTAAAAATTTATAGGCAGACTAGTTCAGAGGAGGTGTAACATAAGCTTCTCCCTTAACCTAATTATATTTTAGCAAAATGATCCATACTACTGATTGAAATGAGTAGCTGGAAAACCTTCACGTCAAACAGTAATGCCTGTTTATTAAATTCAGGCAGTCTAAACACCTAATGGTCGTTTCGCTTATTTAAGGCTGAGGTCATCAGTTTAAACATCCAAATTCAGGCTAGATAATTAAGCGGATTGGTAACATACAGAGTTAAGAAGCATTTAGATCACAAAGCACTGAGTAAAACAGCAGTCCGGTGCTTGGCATGCACTATTAACAGATGTGAAAGATATCCAAATTGCTTTTATCATTCAGAAGGACACAATACCTCTTTATCATAATGCCTATGGTTTTGATAGTTATTTATAGTATCAAGCAGATTATGCATTTTGATGATATGAATGCTTTTAATTTTCAAATAACATCATGGTGAACCTTTACTTTAAATTGAATAGTTACTAAGAGACGAATTTAATTCAAATGAATCCATTATTACGAAATGATCTACTTACCAGTAAACAGAATGAATATTAGAGTATATCATAAGAATTTTAAAATGAAATTTAGTTTCGGGTACATATTTTTGTACTTTATACAGATGAAAGTGGTTAACTTATAACTTTTACGTAAAATGACGAAATCTTGAATGTGAATGAAAAGATATTCTCAAACAACACTTTGAGTACACTTTTAACATTGAAAACAATAAGAAAAAATACTTTGTTTCTTCTTTTGTGAAATACACTAAATTTGTAGTTTATATTAGTCCTTAATTTTTATAGTAGTTATGCTTCAAAATGCCATTTTACTTTTGAGTTGTAAACCTCAGTTGTAAGTATGAAGGTTCAATGTTGTAAGACGAAACCAACATTTATTTATCACTAGCCAACATCAGTCAGGGAATCATCGATGGCCGGAGAGTACAGGAGAGCTGTCTTATCCTAGTCTGGAATTCATCAGCAGTAAGCACTTATGGGCATACCAAGGATAGAACCTTTCGACATCCTGGTTAAGAGGTCAGCTCACTGAATTTTTAGCCTCTGAGACCAGAATTCAGTGAAACATGAGTTCTAGCTTTGTCATTTAGTGATACAACGCCATCTGGGGTATGCACAGATGAAGAGTCCTTCACTAGAACGCAACAAATGTCCAGTACTCTTTGATTTTTAATCACTCGCTGACTGATGTCAATTCTCAATAAAGTCTATTCTGAGATTAATCCAAATCCTTACAAAACTCATAATCGAATACTCTCAACAGTTTAATTTTTACTGGTTTATTATATTCAATCATTGTTTTTATGGACTCAAGAAAATATTGTTTAAGCCTAGTGATTTCGAATTTCCCTCCAGGACTGTAATTCAAATATAGTGGATATTTTAATGAACAATATTTATATTCAAACAAAAATTATTACCTTCAAAATAATGCCTAGTATGTCAATCATAAATATATGTTAAATAGTGAATAATCAAGTCACTTTGAATTGTGAATATCGAGAATTACAACATACTACAATCCTTTTCATAGTATTTTAACGATAGAACATACGAATATTTAACGATTCAATGTATAGATATAGATAAAATGAGTCTACCATATTTAAGAATCTGAATTTCCACATATCTTGGGTACTGTGCTCCTTTTGTTTCCCCTTCATGGTTTTCATGTTGCTTCACAACCATCGTTCGTTTCTTATCTCCACCATTGAACTGATCAGTACGCTATTCGATATTCTTGCAGTTAACATATTTATGTAAATTTATACCTGCCTCTATATATTACTTATAAATATTGTCAGTAGTAGGTGCCGCAGTATGATAGTTTTATTTCACCTTCTTGATATTAATCAGGTAATTTGAAGTTTTTAATAAGTGCTTTGCTAACAAAATGGGTGATAATCTCAACACTGAAGCCACATTGTTTAGCCGATTAGTAGTAATCCGTTAGGTATATGACTTTAGTATCATCGACTGACAAACTGCACAAAATTATCTAGTTTCAGAGCTATTATATTGTACATCAGTAATTTACTGGTAGCCTGACTCTGGACTACATATATGGTCCGGGTTTCAATTCCCTACTAACTCACTCCTAAATCTAGTCTATTTTAATAGCCTGCAGTACTCTCAGAAAAGTAGAATGGTTGGGTTTGGGACTAGCGACCTCGGCTCATAAAAACAACAGGAAACAATAACTAAGGTTTCAAGGATAAGGCCAGTCACTAGTGAGCCTCAGATTGATATTCAAGTGTTGGTTTGCAGGAATTTGATTGATTTCAGGATTTTATCATGAGCTGACATCGGTTAGAGGATCACTGGAAATCCTGTGAGTACTGGACAGCTGTATCGTCCTAGTTTGGGACTGTTCATCAATGCCCGTCCGTCGTAGCCCTATATCATGAAGTGACAAAGTTACAGTTGACAGGTCGTTGAATTCCGACCTGACTGGCTGAATGGTCAATGAGTTCAGCCTCGAAGAAGAGCCGATGTTCGATCCTTAGTGAAATCATGGGTAGGCACTGATGAAGTGTCTCGAAATAGGACGAAAGAGCTATCTAATACTCCTTGGTTCTCAGTGATCTTCACATGTTATTGGTTCGTAACGAAATCTGCATTTGCATTAATCAAAATCCTTACAATAACCAAGGATCTAGATATTAAACAGATAAATAATTGAACCTTTGAAAACAAGCAAAAAAATTTCAATGAATCAGTTTAAATTTTAATATACTATAGCAATCGTAATGTGCATCGGTGGCAGAGTGGTTAGGACGCTCGCCGACCATGCACATGGTCAGGGGTTCGATCCCCGGCCGACGCACTCCTTTACCTCACTAAGCCAGTAATAAGACTGGTAAAGAGGGAAGGTTGGGCATGAGGCTAGCAATCCCATCCTGTAAAAATAAACACCGCTATAGAAACTTCAAGCCTCCAGCCTGAAGTCCTATATTCCACTGGGAAAGTGAAGGAAAAAAAAGTAGCAATCATATAACGAAAAGACAGAAAATGATAGAAATATGGTTTCATTTTATATCAAGAGTACTGAACGAAAATGTATCATACCTTAGAATAACATTTATAAAGTTTCCCGGAATGCATAACAAATTTTCGGCTTTTTCTATGCATTAGGTACGAATTTTATGATATCTGTCATAACATTTAATTGAATTTTAGATTTACCCATCGATTGATTGGACCTAAGTGCTCGGTCTCAGGTTGACATGTCTATCGACTTCTTGTGCAGATGCTTCGACGATGTCTGGACTTGTAATTAGAATTTAATTGTTGGATGGTGACCAGCAGTGGAATCCAGGACGTACATTTCGTCCTGTTTGGGCCTCGTCATCTGGATGCACCTGCATTTCCCAGTGACTGACGATGTGCCCACTGAGGCTCGAACCCAGTGCAGGTACATCCAGGTGACGAGTCGCAAATAGGACGAAATGCTCATCCTGGATTCCACTGCTAGTCACCATCCACCAATTAAATCTGTCATAATAGTTTATATGTACAAAACCGCTTTGTAAAATACAATTCTGAATGACTTGCTGATAATTTTATTCACGAAAATTGGTGATTCTCATTGTCGATTTCTTACTCGCGTACGTTAAATAGACACGTTTTGCAAAAGGCTTTTGTGTTCATAATCATAATTCTGACATGATAACTTCCCTTGAATAGGCTTTCAGTTTAAACCCTTCATATTAGATTGTACAAACGTATCTTTACTGACGAGAGAAGTCGCTCTCAGAAATGCAGTAGTATCTTACAGTATGATGTCCTTCCTGAGAAAAAACCGCATACGTTTAACATATATAATAGATGTTAAACTCTATAATTAATAATGTATTCATGTAAGGTGCATGATTTGTCATATAAATTTTAGAGATTTAATCATCCCATGCTTTATTTTCTGCTTTTCCGCTTTCCATTTCTCCCCTGTTTAGGGCTACTGGTGCTACTTTAGGTGTGTTGGCTATATTACTTGTTTTATTCCTTCTCATATTATGTCTTCCATGGCAAAAGTGTGATCGATATTGTTCCTGTTGTCGATGTTGGCTTCTGGGATCTGAAGAAAATTATAATGGTCAATCCGATGATGCATTTCGTGCAGGGAGAATGCCTGGAGAATTTCGTAAGTTTCTGCTTCATTTTATTATGATGTTCTCATTATCTGCTTATCTATTTTACTCCATTACCATTATATAAATCATGCAAAAAAGACAGGGGATTATGGTAAATACTTGATTGTACATTCAATGACACATACGTAATAAGAGAAGAATTCGACATTAAACTCTAAAGATCACTGTTTATATTGTTTGTCTTTCTGGTTGTGTGTGGAAAACCGGGCGTCAGTGGCGGATCTCCATTCCACTCTGTTCTCTGAAGTTTTTTCCACCTGGCTACACGAATTTTCATAGGCTTTCATTTCCAATTTACACAATCTCCTTCATGTCACCCCGGAACGCCAAATTTATTGTTTCTAAATTCGGGTTCCACGAGAAGGTCTGCCACGTGTTGTCAATAAACGATCTCCTCAGCGTGTTCCGAATCCATCTCCATTTCCTTCTGAATGTTTGTTGAGTATTTTCAAGTGTTGGTTTGTAGGGATTTGATTGGTCACAGGATTTCATCATGAGCTGACATCAGTTAGAGAACCATTGGAAAACCTGGGAGTACTGGACAGCTGTTTCGTCCTACTTTGGGACTCTTCAGCAGTACACACCCACCGGGATTCGAACCCAGGACCTTCTGGTTACAAGGCGAGCTCGTATACCATTAAGCCACTGGGACCCGATCCAATGGTCCATGAATTCTAACTTCTGCCAATTCACGACATAGCGCGACCCCTAGCCAGTGTCTTCGGCGAGTATTTGTCCTCACGCCCGACCTGCTGCACCCTACTGGTCACGACTTCCCACTAGAACCCCAGGTGACTACCCACCTGAATAGGGCAAGTCGCTAGTGAGCATCTCATTGATTTTCAAGTGTTGGTTTGTAGGGATTTGATTGGTTACAGGATTTCATCATGAGCTGACATCAGTTAGAGAACCATTGGAAAACCTGGGAGTACTGGACAGCTGTTTCGTCCTACTTTGGGACTCTTCAGCAGTACACACCCACCGGGATTCGAACCCAGGACCTTCTGGTTACAAGGCGAGCTCGTATACCATTAAGCCACTGGGACCCGATCCAATGGTCCATGAATTCTAACTTCTGCCAATTCACGACATAGCGCGACCCCTAGCCAGTGTCTTCGGCGAGTATTTGTCCTCACGCCCGACCTGCTGCACCCTACTGGTCACGACTTCCCACTAGAACCCCAGGTGACTACCCACCTGAATAGGGCAAGTCGCTAGTGAGCATCTCATTGATTTTCAAGTGTTGGTTTGTAGGGATTTGATTGGTCACAGGATTTCATCATGAGCTGACATCAGTTAGAGAACCATTGGAAAACCTGGGAGTACTGGACAGCTGTTTCGTCCTACTTTGGGACTCTTCAGCAGTACACACCCACCGGGATTCGAACCCAGGACCTTCTGGTTACAAGGCGAGCTCGTATACCATTAAGCCACTGGGACCCGATCCAATGGTCCATGAATTCTAACTTCTGCCAATTCACGACATAGCGCGACCCCTAGCCAGTGTCTTCGGCGAGTATTTGTCCTCACGCCCGACCTGCTGCACCCTACTGGTCACGACTTCCCACTAGAACCCCAGGTGACTACCCACCTGAATAGGGCAAGTCGCTAGTGAGCATCTCATTGATTTTCAAGTGTTGGTTTGTAGGGATTTGATTGGTTACAGGATTTCATCATGAGCTGACATCAGTTAGAGAACCATTGGAAAACCTGGGAGTACTGGACAGCTGTTTCGTCCTACTTTGGGACTCTTCAGCAGTACACACCCACCGGGATTCGAACCCAGGACCTTCTGGTTACAAGGCGAGCTCGTATACCATTAAGCCACTGGGACCCGATCCAATGGTCCATGAATTCTAACTTCTGCCAATTCACGACATAGCGCGACCCCTAGCCAGTGTCTTCGGCGAGTATTTGTCCTCACGCCCGACCTGCTGCACCCTACTGGTCACGACTTCCCACTAGAACCCCAGGTGACTACCCACCTGAATAGGGCAAGTCGCTAGTGAGCATCTCATTGATTTTCAAGTGTTGGTTTGTAGGGATTTGATTGGTTACAGGATTTCATCATGAGCTGACATCAGTTAGAGAACCATTGGAAAACCTGGGAGTACTGGACAGCTGTTTCGTCCTACTTTGGGACTCTTCAGCAGTACACACCCACCGGGATTCGAACCCAGGACCTTCTGGTTACAAGGCGAGCTCGTATACCATTAAGCCACTGGGACCCGATCCAATGGTCCATGAATTCTAACTTCTGCCAATTCACGACATAGCGCGACCCCTAGCCAGTGTCTTCGGCGAGTATTTGTCCTCACGCCCGACCTGCTGCACCCTACTGGTCACGACTTCCCACTAGAACCCCAGGTGACTACCCACCTGAATAGGGCAAGTCGCTAGTGAGCATCTCATTGATTTTCAAGTGTTGGTTTGTAGGGATTTGATTGGTCACAGGATTTCATCATGAGCTGACATCAGTTAGAGAACCATTGGAAAACCTGGGAGTACTGGACAGCTGTTTCGTCCTACTTTGGGACTCTTCAGCAGTACACACCCACCGGGATTCGAACCCAGGACCTTCTGGTTACAAGGCGAGCTCGTATACCATTAAGCCACTGGGACCCGATCCAATGGTCCATGAATTCTAACTTCTGCCAATTCACGACATAGCGCGACCCCTAGCCAGTGTCTTCGGCGAGTATTTGTCCTCACGCCCGACCTGCTGCACCCTACTGGTCACGACTTCCCACTAGAACCCCAGGTGACTACCCACCTGAATAGGGCAAGTCGCTAGTGAGCATCTCATTGATTTTCAAGTGTTGGTTTGTAGGGATTTGATTGGTTACAGGATTTCATCATGAGCTGACATCAGTTAGAGAACCATTGGAAAACCTGGGAGTACTGGACAGCTGTTTCGTCCTACTTTGGGACTCTTCAGCAGTACGCACCCACCGGGATTCGAACCCAGGCCTTCTGGTTTGTTGAGTAACATGTTCTTGGTTTAACTCATCACCATAGAGATTTCCTAATTGCCAATCCTTTCAGCACCGCTACCTGATCTTCAGTAAAGAGCGAAAACAAATGTTAATGGATGTCTGCAGCCCGGTTTCGGAAATGCCAAGTCTCTGAGTCATACAGAATCACTTACTTGATATTAATGTCGAAAATTTGGATCCTAATTCATATTGTAAGCAGTGAACACATCAGTATTAATTTCAGAGTAATGAACACCTGTCTTTCTATCCCTATCCAATATTGGCTTGCTTAGAAATCTTCATCTGTTCTGCTTGTGGGTGAAATAATAGTGAAAGAGACGACTTCTTTTACATTTATCCCTGATAGTGATTGATGCCAGTTTTTGTTGACAAAGTTTCTTCAACATCCCTGCCTTCTATATGATCACTCAAAGTCTTGTGTTCGCTGCTTCTTATGCCAAACTTGTTGGTATGCGCCGGCAGATTCTTGAATTTGTGAGACATTAGACACAAATCATCCACAAATTCCAGAAAGGTAACCTAATTGGGGATTTAAAATAAGGAAGGAAGCAATAAACTACAAAACTGAAATATATTTGCTTGAAAGCGAAATATTCTGCAGTGATAGGGAAGATAAAGAAAGATACGGCATATACACATGCATCCTGCAAAATTTCTAGGTTTCTCAAGAAACAGCAAAGAGACAATCCACCCGTAAGATTTTGAAGATGGCTCAGGTGAATGATTTTCGTATATTTCTTCAAGTGAGTTATTCAGCTCAAAAAACTTAACAGCACGAAAAAGTTATATGCACACTGATGATATTCTATTAACAGTGATTTGAATTATATTCAGCACTTGCAAACTACACAGTTTAAGGTGAGAATTCATCACGACCCCCTTTGGAGATCAGAAACATTTGATTCACACCATAGATAAAACTGAAGAGTGTGAAATATCCTCATATCGTGAATTTAAAATCAATCTAAACGAAGAATATTCTTTCCAGTATGTCATCTTCAGGTTCTTACAATTATAAAATATGATATTTAGGCGGCAGATGCATTTTTACGTATAATAACACAATAGTTATAGGGCTAACAAAATAATAATAAACAGTATTTGTGTGACACTCGTTCTGGGCTGAATTCAGTTACAATGTGGGGAAGGAAAACGTGTATATCAGATCAAGATTATCAAGTGATCTTCAACAGGAAACTCAGCGATGCCTTTGAAGTGAAGAGAGGAGTAAGATAAGGCTGCATGCTATTGCCAATGATATTTCCAATCTTGATGGAGTGGATTATGTTGCCCACAACACATGGAGAGTGAAAAAACAGAAAATACTGTGGCCTGATTAGAATGTTGCAGAAGATCTGGACTTCACGGGTGATTTACTTTTAATGTCACATATACTTGAAGACTTACAGGCGAGAACAAACAGGTTGGCTGAAGAGGTTGGCAGAGAATACAGGACTCCGTGTGAACATGGAAATGACGAAGGTGACGAAAGTAATTAAACAACAGCAAACACCAATCACTATCGGCGGACTAAATTTCACCTATCTAAACAGCACCGTTTCAACTACAGACACAACGAATGTGGATTTCAAAACCAGAATGGGAATCGCAGGGTTGACCTTTATCACTGTGCAATCAGTTTGGAAGTCTTCTGCACTCTCCATAAAGAACGAGATTCGGATTTTCAATTCTTCTACATGCGTCACAAAGCATTTCCAGCAGGCTTCAGACTATTATCAACAGTTGCTTTCAACGAATACTGAAGATCAGATCAACAGTCAGAAGGGGGTAAGCAACAGAGAACTCTGGCGACGAACCGACCAAGAACCTATTGCTTAACAAATATGTTGGGGGAAATGGAGATGGATAGGACACAAGCCGAGAAGACTGTCAAGTTTAATCGCAAACCTAACCCTACCGGAATGGGAAGCGGCGAGTTGGTCTTGGGTATAAGGGTGACATGGAGTAGGTCGTGTGAGGAGGAAATGAGAGCTTATAGGCAACTGTGAGGCCAGTTAAAGACGACTGTAGAGAACAGGTCAATTCGGAGATGTGCTGCTGAAGCCTTATATTTCACCTGGAACCCAGAAGAAGAATAATGACAATAATGAGACCAAATTAATAAAAGACGTCAGGTGGGTGGTTAGCAAAACACAGTTTGCATTAAAGTGAATATACTAAGACTATGGTGAATAGTTCATCGTGAGGTAATCAATATGCGAAATGAATGAAATGGAGCCATATATTAAGAAAAGAGATAATACCACTTTTGCTAAATCTGAATACTACTAAGTGGAAAATTTTATAGTGTTGGAAGGATGCTAGAATGAAGGCTATAAATTATAGAACACTGTGGCTAAGACTGTTGGGAGAAAGAGGAAAATATTTGATAAAAAAGAGAAACGACAATGAAGAAAGAGATCCACGGTGCAAAACACTTTTAATCCAAGTTTGGTCACGTTAGAAGCGACGCCTGAGCAAGTTCTTTTTGAACACAAAGTTCCCAGCTGTGTGTTGAAGACGTAGATAAAATGTACGTGGTAGGGACCTTGGGATTTGAAATATATTGCTAAAAGCTATGTTAAAGCCAACGCCATGCTCTGTACCTACCAAGTGTGATAGAATTGAATTTTTTATGCATTCGATTCCACCTTCTTTGAACCGAGTTGGCAAATGTTCTTGAATCCACACTCAAACGTGCTTAATTGTATGCCCTATACAACCTGAACAACTGGAGCATTTTAAACAGTATATGCATGAGAAGGAGCTAAGTAAGATATCCTCCAGTTTCTAGATGAACACTGAATGGCTCCTGAAGGATAGAAACAGATGTCCAGAGTAGAAAGTTTTCTTTATCACTTTGGTTAGATGTTGGAATAGAATCTCACTGGGAGTATCTTCCCTGAATTATACATGCAAAAATAATGAATTTTGCAGTACCATTCCCAATTCGTGTTTTCGACTCTTATAACCTATGCTGAATATTATAAACTTATTAGGATATCCGTTATCGTCTAGAATGTCCCGAATGACGTGGAGTTTTTTCCCTACCTGGCCCAAAACGCTAATCAACTATCCAAATTATCTTTATATTTCATTAGTATGAAGCTGAGGAAATGTGTATTGAGGTTTAGTCTTTAGCCTTCTGAATATGGTTCTTTTAATCGATTCATCCTCACTTCTTGTTGAGGAGACTCATGGAAAGCGCAAAGAGTACTTGTATTCTTTAGTGTAGTTAAAATGGAAATCTAGGTGAGCAATATTGTGGTGGCTAGAAAATTGTAAGAACCTTAAGATAATTTCTTGAAAAGACTAATATTTGTTCAGTCTGATGTTTAATTTATACCATAAATGGTTTGTCCGATATCATAATTGTTATTCAAGAAAACGAACTATATAGTGTGTTTGTATTACCATTTTTCCGATTAGGTAGTCAGAATTCGAGTGGCTTGAATTTTTTCAGCTCTCTGAAGATGACTATAACCAACCTCACAGCTTATGAACTCGGCTTCGAATAGGAGAGATGAAGTTCGAACCATAAGTTCATTTTGGTCTGGCTATCAACCACTGCCGATTGACATAAGCGGTTCATAACTGTTCATGTACACCTAAATGAACCTATTCTTTTCAATTTTTGTCAGTGAATTTTCATTCAGTTATGATTAATACAATATGTATTAATTAATCTCTTTTGTTTCATATTCTTTTCCTTTTTTAGCCATGCCAATGTTTGACTTTATCCCTCCATGTGCACTACCTAAATTGCCTAATTATGAAGAATGCTTGAATACTGGTCCACCAAGTAATGATGAAGCCCCGCCTCCTCCAACCCCTCTACCATTCCAAAGTGTTTCTGCTAGTGACCAAAATTTCTCACGACTGGTTGTTCATAGTCGTCCAGATCTACGTGATAACAATGATGATACTCAAACACTGCCTAGTCCTGCATCAACACCTCCACCTACATATTCTTCAACATGGTTGAATAGACCATCAACAACAGTAAGTCGAACAACAGAACAACAAGATCAGTCAAGATCACGTGAAAATTCAATCCCTATCGTAGCACGACAATTATCAGCCAATCTCTAAAACAATAACAGAAAGTAAATAATGCTTAAAAAAACCCAAAGATTTTCTATGCTTGGTATCAGAACATTGAACAATGAAATCCAAAAGAAAAATAAATGATAGCAATAGTAATAAAATACTGTTTTGCATTGAGTTCTACTAGTCAGCTAGTCAGCGGTATGTTTTTCTGTTTTTCTTTGCTGGTTTCTTTCTGAACATACAATCTGGAGACATTGTTCGAAATATCTGTCTCCGTAATCCTTTTCTCTGATATTTCAAAAGCTAAATTAGTAAAGCCTGTGATAAACAGACGCACAGATAGATATATTACTTCACAATTAACTGTCTCTTATGACGAAATATGAAAGCCAGTGTATATTCTCCGTTTCTACTGTGTGTGTAAACGTTTAAGATTATATCAACTAACATCCCTCATTGTCAGTTTTTCCTTCGATAGAAATCTTACTATTTCTAAATTTTTTTTTCTATCCTGCTTTTTATGCGTTGGTATTTTTACTACTTGAAACAATATGTTTATATGAAATAAATTATTTTTTAACTCAGAACTACTTTTACTATGTTTAATAGTATTTTCACTAGAGGAAAAGGCTCAGCAGATATCTTGAAATATTGTTTCTCACCTATCCCTTTCTTTCACACTTATCTTTAACTGATGTTTTTTTCCTATTTCCTCCTCAAAATGGTGGTTTACCAAAGAGAGAAAAGAAAAAAGAAAGAAAACTTGTCTTTGCCTTGTATCTTTCCACTGACGAGATTCACAGTCAAAACTGGTGCGATGCTGTTTGTGTTCTGACGATTTTCTTCTCTTTTTTTTTGAAAAAAAAATAAACATAGTGCTTCCTCTTTGAAAAAGCAAAGCTGAGTAAATAACAAGTTATGCTTTTCAAAACGGTAAATCTCTGTGTGTATCATGCATGCAATACTATTAGTCTTATTATTATTAATTATGGAGTTTTGGTGATTGAATGGGCATTCTCTTTGATGAATGGGCATTAATTTTTTCAACAAAACTTTCCTGATCAATTACGAATGTCTGTTTGTATGTATGCATAGATTTTTACGTATAATTTTTTATATATATTTTATTGAATAAGAAATCTAAAACAAATTTGAAAAAGACTTACATTACTACTTTATATTCAGAAGACACTCTGACGGTGAACAATTTAAGTTTAATATTGTGGTACTTTATGCAAGTGACAGAAACTACTTGTTATAAATATGAACTGTGATCAAGATTTGACCAGATAGTGGCAAAATAATTGAGCACCGAGTGGGAAGTAGACATTCGTGAAAAAATTATATTCGTCAAATCTCAGCGAAATTGAAATGATTAATTCCAACGTTCGTTCGGCAATCTGGTTCGAACTTCTTCAGGGAAATTAATCGAAATTAACATAACAAAGGTTTATACAAAAGAGAAACATCACTTGTTTTTAAAAACTTTGTCCAATCATGAGTCAGTCAACAAGTATAATAAACAAAATTTTATGAGTTGTGATCAAAATTTGACCTCGGACTTATAAATATTGGTCTACCTTTGTTAAACACTTTAAATAGAGTGTGTATTTGTGTGTGGGTAAACAGTTGTAAAACATTTCTTAACGTCTCCATTAGAAGATATGGACAGTCGAGAATTTTGAACAAGTATTAATAATTAGTTATACATATCCATCTTTTTATTTATTAATAAGGATTTCCTATGCATTAGCTAACAACACGCCTTCATGTCTGTTCAAACTGTCAGTATGTAAAATTTTATGATTAGACGTATTTTTAAAATTATGGTGTTTAGGATTAGAGTTTAGTTTAAGCACTCTGTTGAACTTATTGCATTGTCTTCTTTCTGAATATTGAGCTGCTTTATTCGACCTACTGGAGTTGTCAAGTGACTCGACAGCTACGGATTTAGGATGTGCATTTTGTTCCAGACAACGGAGACTGAAAACACGATGATTGTGCCAATTACATAGTTTCTTTGTTAATTTAATTCGATAGCAAAATAATTCAAATGAACTGTCGTCAAGATTTGACCGAATAGTTCTAAAATATTTGGGCACCGAGTGAGAAGTAGACATTTATACAATTATATTTGTAAAATCTCAGCAAGATTGAAATGAGTAATTCCAACGTTTCGTTCGGCAATCTGGTCCGAACTTCCTCAGGGAAATTAATCGAAATTAACATAACAGAGGTTTATATATAAAAGGACAAAGTTTTAAAACAAGAGTTGTTCCTATTATATATAAACTTCTGTTATGTTAATTTTGATTAAATTCCCTGAAGAAGTTCGGACCAGATCGCTGAACGAAACGTTGGAATTAATCATTTCAATTTCGCTGAGATTTTACAAATATAATTTTATAAATGTCTACTTGTTATAATGTCAAAAAACGAAGAAAGTGTTGGGTAAATGTGTCACCCTATCCCTTAATTTTAAGTCAATATGTAATGTCGACACCTTAATGATCGTGTCTTGTGGTTTGCAGAGTGCGATTGTTCTACTAGACTGGGACTTGATTTTCAAAGATGCTCAAATTCTGTTAATCTTTCATGTAATAGTAATTATGATGATAAAGCGTTATTTCAGACAGTATGTGAAGACACAGTACAGAAATCTTCAGCCTACTTAGTTTCAAAATATTTCCTCTTCATACAGGCTTTGAGTGTGAAGTATATCATGTGAAGTAATGTTGTTTCAGACGAAGAGAGAAACAATTTCGCCTTCAAGAATTACACAAGATCCGGCTGAAAGCCAATTAAATATAAGCGCCAGTTCATATAGTGATCATCTGACACAACTGCTTGATTAAAACCATAAGAAATGCAGGGGAGTTCCAGTATTTTGACGGATGGAACTTCCGACAGAGCTATGATTTAAGTAGTCCGCCAATAATAACTGTATTCCGCAAGACTGCGTTAATATATGTCGTAGAACTCTAAGAATGGCCTACCAAAAAGTATTTCTTAAAGGTATGAAAAATTCTCATTCCATGTAATTTAGAATACATGAATCAACAAAAGGATCTCGTTTTGGAACTCCTTTTCAAAGCTGTACAGTTATTTGGAGGGTTCATATATCCAGTGTAGATTGACAACAGAAGTCAAAGGTTATCGTCAATTATTAACAAAGTAGTTCAAAGTGTATGAGTAATAACGATGTTTGGAAAATTGAGAATAGTCTTATTTAATCAAGCGGGTTGATAACTAATTAGTAGAGCATGAATAATCGTTTTGAAATACTTGATAAGGAACAGTAGAACAAATAACTGATAATGAGTTGCAAAGAACATAAAATGTACTACATAAAGCTTACTATGGAGTTGCTCAAGCAGATAAAGAAGCAAGAAAAATTTAGTACTAAAGCTGTGGCAGTAGAAGAGGTCTTGTAAAACGTTCTTGGACACAAAGTTCAGGTTTCTACTTATGGATTGCAATGGATTTGACTGTATGAAAAAGATGCAGGCGAAATCCTTTCAAACGAAATGGTCGTACTTTATATATGACTCTGAAAGAAGTGTCTGCTGATGATATCTGGTCAGAAGTAATATTATGCTCCAGGGTTGAGCTGTTGACTGTTCTGACTTCACCTTTTGACAAACATGCCGGCAAATGTTCGCGGGCACGTCTAGACAATCTCTTGCTGCTACGGCCTATGTACTTAGTTCCACAAAAGCAGGTGGATTGGTAAAATGACAAAGTATTTAAAAGAATGGATAATGAACAAAGAGTACTCTTTTCGATAACGCCTTCATCATCAGGCTCTACAGTTATATGTACATTATAGTGAATGAATGAATTAGTGTTATGAACAACATTCATGTTTAAATAACATCGAATCAATAATATTGATAGATTACAGCTCAATAGCATCAACATAAAATAAGCTGAATGTCAGAAGAATTAGGAAAGGTAATATTTCAAATTCATGAATTTATAGTCTCTACTGAAGGATAGGGTAGTAGTAGGGGCTGGACTTGCTTCTTTTGAACACAAAGCACTGTTTGTTTGAGGCGAATTGCAATAGCCTCTGCTGTTTGGAGCATGTGGTGCTTCGATGATATTGGCAATTTATTCGGCACCCGGTATATTAAAGAGAAGGATTGTTCCACGCTGGCTTTGTGACCGGTTTGCACCAGATGGTCCAATATCGGACTGTTAATGATTTTAACTACACCTTTACTTAGCCATAGTGGGAGATATTCTCGAGAGTGCACGAAAAATCAAGTTCCTAGAGCAACGGACAATATAACTCGCTCCACAAGCGCAGTTGAATTGGTAGATACAATTTGAAGTGGCTAGTCTAGGTACTTCATCTTTCAGTCGAGGTAGCACCATCGGTCGTGTAGAGAATAATACCTGTAGTTTGCCAGCATTACAAGTTCTTTGAATTGATTTTCTTAATTTCCTCGTAATTATCTCACTTGGTATATCGCCCTTGAATTGTAGTCGTATATAAAGTATTTGCTCCTTTTCTATAATCTGCGGGCAATTTAATAATTGGCAATACATTATTTGAAGCAATACTGTCCCATCCAAAGCGCTCTCTAATAGCCTGATATGCCTATTCTTCATTTCCCTCGAAGAATCCATACTGGTTGGTTGAGACCTATTTGAAAATAGGCATGAGTACAGACTGCGACTCAAAAATGTAGTTAGATAATTAAAACAACATAAAATAGAGCACATAAGATACATCTCGATGGATGAACCATTAGGTATCACATCGTCAAGTATGGCATATTCATTATTCAGCGCCTCTACTGAACCACTATCTACATTACAACCAGTTTTTATTTGACATAATTATTAATAACTGCTAGTATGTGACGTAATGAGTGAATATATATTCTTCACCAGAATTTTATTTGTCCATTCATTTTAACCGAAAGCCATTCAGATCCAGAACACACACGATACACAATATCTCTAATTAGTCTGTGACACACGATTCAGTTGTAAAATACTAACCACGCACATGGTCCGGTGTTCGACAGCCGATCGATTAACTCCTAAACCTTGCTTAGCTGGTAGTTAGCCCTATAAACAGTAAGTATTGTGCGTGAAGCTTGCGACCCCATTCAGTGAAAATAAAATCCATTGCTACTGAAACTTCAAATCTCAAGCTAGGAACGCATAGGATTAAAATTAATAAATAACAATCTGTGACATTTGAATTATTTTCTTCAAAATCTGATTCACATCAATCTATTACCATGAGTCTTGGAAGTAATTTGTCATTGCTGAAGAGTGTTGAACTACAATGGAAGAACTACCACTGAACCTTGCTGACTTTATGCAATTTCGACCCTCAAAATAAATTTAACAATTGTAGTTCAGCTACTTGTGAGTAGTATATATCTTTCCCAAAACAATTATCAAGTTTTTCCAACCATATATAATATCCATTAAAATGGATTTTATTTTAGCCTTTTCTACTAACTGCAGCTTAATATCTACACTGTAAAGTGTTCTCCTGGTTTCTAAAGTGATCCTTATATCTTCGCGATACCCATTTAATAGGCGAAAATATTTGTTTTATTGATCTAGCTGGTGGAGATTCGATTTGTTTCAAATTTGATCACGGACTGGTGTCAGCAAGGGAACCATTGGAAACAAGGGAGTATTGAACAGCTATTTTTCCAGTAATTGTCTCCACACCTGCCCTGGTGTACTGCAATGATCACCGTTTATTCCCAGGAATCCAGTCAACTTCGTCCTCCAGCCAGTCACTAGCTGGAACCCCG